ATATGTGTGGTGATACAGTGATGATCAGAGAGAGAGAGAGAGAGACATACTCATATGAGTATTATCACACATGCATTTGTTATACCTGATTGGTTCAATAGCTGAATAGCTGAAGGTATACACTCCCACCACAAACCTATTTACCTCATTTTTTATTATTTATTTTTTTAAATGTAATACATTCCATTTGTAGTACATCAATATGTGTGACATCACTAATTGTATGTAATTACAATCTCTCTCTCTCTCTCTCTGGCCCCACCCCTCTCTCTTGGGTAGTCGATGTGTTAGAAATATATAGCTGCCATATGATGTGCATGTGTGGTCAATAAAGCCACAGAGTATGAAGCAGAATTATTTGCCAGTTTAGTCATACTATACGAGTCAACACCATTAATCCTCATTTACATATAAGGGCCCCAGAACATGCACATAGTAAAACAGGATGTTAGAAAAATACAGTGGTGTAAGAAAACAGCAGAGCAGAGAAAAAGCCAGATTCAACTGGGCACTTGTTTTAAATGACCTCTTCTAGGCTAGCATTTTATCTTGACAGTTTTTGCTTCTCGTCTAATTGCAGTTATATATTTCTTTAACCTATGTTTTTTGCTTAAAAAACACTTTTGGGCTGTTTTCCTTATGTGCGTTCAATACAAATTCAACAAACTTCTTCAAGTCAGGGGAAAATCTCCCTAATTCCCCAACAGTCTTTCACTTTGTTTCATCTAAAAAATGCAGTTATCAGCTCCAAGAAGCCGCAATAGGCAAAATTTGACAAAGGTGCAGGCTAATTATAATTTCAAATCATTAATCTCCAGTTTTTCACTTTCATGCATAACAGCCACTTTTCTGAAGTTAATAAACTCTAAAATCAAACGTATACTGCTTTACTAACTATTATGGTTAATATTGGGGTAAAACAAAAGGGAGCACATGGTATTTACTAATTTCATTCTCCAGAGAGCTTTACATTTACATGAAAAAATGGTGATTAGGAAATATTAACGTTACTACTGCCAAGTAAATTAATAAACATTAGTATCATTAATAAGCCATTTTAAACCAAACATTATTACAAAATTAGGCATAGAAAAGAAACTGTTCGTCTCATTTTAAGTAAAGACTTTACTTCTGCTGCTTTAAGATGTGAGCTATGACATGCAACACAACAAATTAAAGATGATCTGCTGTAGTCAAAAACTGAATATTATGAATATTTCATGCCAATATAACAAATGGGCACTAATATTTTTATTTCCCTCAAGTTAAGTCAAGACAAGTCAAGCCTTTGCATATTAAAACGAATGCCATTGCTATTAAATTTGCTTTGGTTCACATATATAAGGGAAGGAAAGTAAAAAATACATAATACTTTAAAAAAAGCATCAAATCTAGATTCCTTCTTTGCATCTCCTGAGTCAGATGGCAACCTGTCTATCAGCTCCTACTGTTTTCCAGCAGTCAAGCTTTGTTCTTCAGTGGCTTGCTTCTTATTTGGACAGGCAGAGCATATATTCCCAATATCCCCAAATTATAACAGAGCAAACACTCCATGCTTGCATGAACCTCTCTCTAGAGGGAAAGA